TTCCTAAAGGTGTACCAAATTTAAGCGCAATCGGCCCAGCCGTTCTCGAGATCCGGAAGCGGCCTCTTGCGCGTGCGCAAGTGCGAAGTGCGAACAGGGTCACAATTGACTTTTGCTCGACAACCTCCTGAGCGATTCCTAAAGGCGTACCAACTTTAAGCGCAATCGGCCTAGCCGTCCTCGAGACCCGGAAGCGGCCTGCTGCACGCGCGCACGTGCAACCGGAGTCACAAATGACATTTGCTCGGCACCCTCTTAAGCGGTTCCTAAAGGTGTACCAAATTTGGGCGCAATCGGCCTCGCCGTTTTCTATATATGGAAGCGGCCTCCTGCACGTGCGCACGTGCAAACGGGGTCCCAAACGACTTTTGCCCGGCACGCTACTAAGCGGTCCCTACCGGTGTGCCAATTTTGAGCGCAATTGGTCCAGCCGTTCCCGAGATCTAGGAGCGACCAGTGACCACTGCACGTGCGCACGTGCAGTAGTACCCCTAACGTGACACATGAAAATGCATTGCCCGATGAGTGCCTACCCACATGCCAAGTTTCAGCGCTATGAGCACGATAATTGCATAGTTATTGTAATTGACACAAACATGACATCTCTTTATTATGCACGTGGCACGTGCAGCCATGGTTGGTCACCCACATGCATCGAGAAAAGTCGTGTCCTCGGCAAAATGGATGAAAATACCCTACAAACATATTTCCTAGTAAATCGATCCTGTGCTTACACAGACATAATCCTCTCAAAAACGTACATTCAGCAGAACGACTTTGGGTTCTGAGTTGACACCCTTGGCTTCGCAAGAGCCACATGACACGGCGATCACCCAGGTGCATCAAGAGTAGTCAATTACGAGGTAGGAGGGATGGGGCTACCAAACAAAAAAGACCGCGGTTCAATCGGCCCAGCGGTGGCCGAGATAAAAGCTTCTCAAAAGCGTTATAGGGCGGGCCGGTCCGAGCTGTACCGCTCATACTGATATTTTCCCGTTACATTGAAAACTCTTTTCCGCGCTCGCTCGCAAGAAAAAAAATCATAAACAGCAATTTCAATACCTAAATATACAATTCATAAGCATAGGTGACGTCTTACGACAGCTCAGTGAGTAGTCGTATCTTCACAATACCTTCATCATTAAGGTCTTACGATCATCTTAAGATTCGACTTAAGATGTCCCGACGTGAATCGCACTTACGATCGATCGTACGACAAATGTCTACGACCAAAATTTTGATCGTAAGATAAATCTTAACTGTTTGCGATGCCAACGTGAATACCAAATCATCGTACGACAAAGAGCGATCGTAAGATAAATCTTACGAAAAATTCCGACGTGAATACGGGCCCAGGTCGGGTCAGTAGAGGTCTGCACCGGCCGGCTGCAGCCGCGGCTGGCTGCAGCCCCACGGCTGTGGGCCGGGGCGGCTGCAAATATCTCCAAGAACACGGCTACGGCTGTGGCCACGGCTGTGAGATTTCAAGCTCAATCTTAAGTACTCAAATATAAAATTTTAAATCCTTAATCTTACATTCTGATAAGCAGTCTAGCCTGTAAAAATCATGCAAAGGATGCCCAGCAACATTGAAAGTGGTGAAGCCTTTGAAAACCTGTAATGTTTTTACCATTTGCTGTAGGGGAGTTTGCACTCTGGTATAGAATACTAATTATAGGTACCAATTGTTCCTTCATCATCAAGAGCTTGACAGTTTCAGAAAATGCAACATATTACATTGTCACATCCTGATCCCTCTCAAATCAATCTCACCTCATCACCTGGTCATTAGGAGAGCACCTTACAGCTATTGAAGACTTGCGTTCAATAATTCTTTCAGGTAATAGAAAAATAAATCACGCCTAGGTAAAGGCAGGTAAAGGCTTCATAAAATATTATCTAAAATAACTCTTAGATGTATTTCTGGATTTTCGGCAAGTCCAATTACATAATATAAAACTGCCGCTTTATGCTCTAACTGGTGTGTGAGTGACCGCTAACAGAAAATGCTGATCAACGAAGCCAATGGAATAAGATTATTAGTGAGCATGAACCTTACTTACGGTTAATTCACATGATGGTGAAAACCCTGAACACGTAATCCACATGACGGTGAAAACCCTGAACACAATATTTCTTACGCAAGCTGTTGACTTTACTAATAGAATGACGTCTTCTTCTGAAAATGTATAAGTTTGATACTTAATCTTTGTTTTAGAGCAAGTTATTAACTGATTTGTATTATAATTCATTAATTATAATTTTTATGGCTGTTTATAGTGACAGAAGACAATTTATTGCCACTTCTTTGCTATTGACTTCATTAAAACTCAAGTAAAATTTTTGATTGAAAGAGGCAATTGTGGCTCGCACGGCATTGGGGATTTGAGCGAAGATCATTATTTGGAAAAATCAAAATGATGAATGTTTTTCTTTCTTGGATGCTCAATAGTGTTTTGATATGCCTTGCATATCAAATTAGTTTGAGACTTGCTCAGAAGGCTGCTTCAAGCCTGGCATATCACACCCCAGAAAATATGCAAGGTAAGAAAGAAGCAGGAGTTTTGACTAGACAATCACTGTTTGACAGTCCATCAACTTCAGTTTCATTTTCCATACCTAACATTGATAATGAGAAGCATCAGGGTCTGTTGCTCTGTCCCACAACCATGCTTCAGGATTTGGCATTAGATGTCTACATTGCTAGTGCTTCTATTCTGGTTCGTTGTTAATGTTTTCTGTTGATGTAGGTACCTACCTACCTACCCATCTTTTTTAACCCTTTGCAAGGGCTTGTGTAGGCATGTGTTGCGCATCAGGCTTCAGGCCTTCGGCCTAAAGCCAGATACACAACCACTTAACCCGCGCACCGACGGGGGTCTGCGCCAACTTAGTACCGACGGGGGGGCGGATGACCGCCCCCCCCTGAGATCTCGAGAACGAAGCAAGATAGCGACAAGCGGTAAACGGCATCGGATACGCACGGTCAAGATCTACAATTTTTACTAAGGTCATTTTCAGGTCAGGTCAAAGATGACGTCACAGGGGTCGAAAAAGCCAAAATGGCGGTGCTAAATATGGAGAGAGTTTTTCTCGAATAACTTTCGAATTAGTCAAGATAGGAACAAACTAAGGGCATCATCGTGATCCTCTCGTCAATCCGCATCGAATGATATATATGTTGACCTCGAAAGGTCAAGGTCAAAGGTTGACCTCAGGTCACGTGACCTCGAGGTCATCATGTATATCATTCGATGCGTCTTGACGAGCTGAACACAATGAGACCATCCACGCGTCTGTATCTTGTTCCTGTACGGAGTTATTGGCCAAAAACCTTTGGTGACCTTTGATGACGTCACATGACCTCACAGCTGCCCAACAGCAAAACAGACCTCAAGGTAGTGAAGGTTGATCGTATATGAAGTCATGTATGGTATATGGGGCCATTCCGACCCGTTTTAGTGGTAAAAACAGGGAGTTGATTTTTCCCCCATTGACTTATAATGGGGAGGTCGCGAAATTGACCTGACCTTAGGTCACCGATATCAAAATTCCGAGATAAACAAATTGTAGCTACTAATGACCTAATAACATCCTGCGACTTTCAAAGGCCTCCGACATCTACTGTAGCTCTGGCACGGTGACAAAGTTGCAAAAAAGTGACTTGAGGTTGGGTCATTCAAAGTGACCTGGTGACCTGACCTTGAAAAATAGGAGGTTCAAACTTGCACACCATGTGTAAAATGGATAAGGGAATAGTCATACCAAATTTCGCGGCGCTACGCGCCGCGGTTTTCCCGCTATTCGCGAAAAACCTCAGGGGGGGCGGATATCCGCCCCCCCCCGTCGGTGCGCGGGTTAACCTATGATGCTTCATGAGCTTGAGAATCTATAGCCCATTGCAATGTGCTTTTGGCTATATGTTTCAACTAAAAACAACTTATATACTATTTGTTTGCATTTCATTGAAAGTATCCACGGCCGGCTGACGGCTGGCTGCCCACAGTTTGCCACGGCTGTGGGCGGCTGTGGCTGTGGAGCCACGGCTGTGGGGCGGCTAGGCTGTGTAAAATTGCAGCCGTGCAGAACTCTACGGGTCAGGTCAGGTCAGGTCAACCAGTAGGCGTCGTGACGGGTATTCGTAGTACGTGTCAACCGCCTCTGACAGCTTCGTAACATGTTACGAAGTCACCAAAACTACTTCGTAAATGTTCAAATGGTTGCTAAATTCGAATTCAGCTCCAAAAACTAGCCTAGAAACATGTAAAACTCGAAAAAGTGACCCAAGGTCACCCGAGGTCACCAAAGGTCAATGACCTGACCTGACCTTCAGGTGACCTTGACACACACGGGAGTAACATCAAATCACATGTTGGAACGTTTGAAACCACGAAAAGCTTGCAAACACGCGGCTAGTGCGAGCCGACATACGCGAAATCGCGATTCCGGCCAAACATGGTCTCGGAAAAGAGGTCACAGGTCAAAGGTCATTTGGGTCAGGGTCATGAAATTTTTAGGGTAGGTGTAAAATTGATCAATGCGAGGGTACTGAAAGTTTCGTCGCCATCGGCCGCTTTTTACGCGAGTTATTCGCGAAAAACCATGGGGGGGGGGGGTCCATCCGACCCCCCCCCCCTACACATGCGAGGGTTAAAAAACGTTCCATTGCGTGTCCGACAACCAAAGAGCCATCATAGGCTCTTAGGCTCTTGGTACTGGGCAGCCGGTGCTGCGACCACAATATGAATAATACTTTTGGTCGGGGACCACCAAGCATCTTTTTTGAGTCCTAACCTGTTCGCCATTTCTGTCGACATTTGACTGCTACCATACCCCAAACTGACTGTACCCGTTGTGTATATACTCTGGTTCAAACACCCCTTCACCCCAGCAGGGCGTGGAAATCCATGACCCCCAGTGGGGCGCGGGTTAAACAAAAAGGTAATGTACTGATGTGATAGACACTCACCAATATTGACCAATCTTACTCTATCACGCAGGGGACGATCTTCTGGACGAGACGTGGCAGTGAAACGCATAGAATACCATGGAAAGGAAGAGGAAAAACTGATTGGGAAAGAAATCGAGTTTCTTTTGAAACTGGATGCCAACAACGCCAAAGTCATCAGGTAAGGTCCAAACTATAACACTAACAGGGATTCGTTAACCCGACAGGCGGTGGGCCTCCCGGCCACCTTCTGCGCGGTGAGGGGGGGGGCATTTTTTGCACCCCCCGTATCTCTGAAACTACTGGACGGATCCGGAAAATTCAAGCGGCGTTCGATAGCCCTGTCAAAATTTGTTGAAAGAAACCAAATTTCATTGACCTCGGGGTCGTCGATGACGTCACAGGTCAGGTCAAAAGTAAAATGTTTCATCGTTCACGGGTCTTCTAGGGAAAGCGCTATCTCACCGAGTAAAGCGCATTTTGTCGAAAATCAGCGATAGGGCGTCAGTTGTCTAGTACATATGCTGCTATTAGAGGTCAATGGTCATACCAGGTCAGGTCACAGGTCAGGTCACGAAGGGTCACCACTCACCACTTAGGTTGTGCGATGCATGTTTTCTGGCCAATTTTTCATTTCCAACTCAATGCTGTTGGTTATAAGACCATCAGGTACGGATTAGGTCACTTTCTGGTGGAGGTCAGGTCAAGATCAGGTCAAAAAGGTCAAATTTCAAAGTTGATTGTTTTGCATAAAATGGGTATTGATTCGATGCAGCTCGTCACGGGGAGTCTAATGGTGGTCTTTGTTTTGCGCTACGAGGTCTAGAATAGAGTTGCAAAGTTTTCCCAATGAGCTGCTACCGGCACCGCCCCGCCCCACAAAAATTTTCTGGGATACCGGCATGCTACCACGCCCCAAGCAAAAAAAAAAACGCCAAGTTACCGGCATACTAAAAAACCTGCATTCTTGATTGTGGCTTACCCCTACATGAGATGCCACATGTTGGCAATTTCAGTAGCCGCCTCACCCAGCAGCCACCCATTGTCCAACCAAAACTACCAGCAGCCTGATTTTGGCTGAGTTGGCCCCACAAATACCACAATTTTGAAACTCGATTACAGTCTTCAGCTGTTAAAATATCACCTGTAATCAAAGAGGTATTGCCTACAAAAAGCATTAACCCTCGCCCGCACATGGGGGGGGGGGGTGGTTGCCATCCCCCCCCAGGTAGTCTTTCTGCCTTGCACTCAACATTTTTAGAGCTAAAACGCTGATTTTTCGTATATCTGCTTCTCTATCCTTTCTTGATGTCCACTGAAAATTTCAAGTTTCTGTGGTTTTCGGTTTCGGAGATATGACCTTGTTTTTCAGGTCATGTCATGACCCAAATGGCCAATTCTCAACATCTTGCGTTGGCTATGGGCCTTGTGAGCTTTTGACACCTTGATTTCGGCCTTTTTTGCCAGTCTTACCTCCAACCTATCATGGAACATGTTGTTCGACGATGTACAGATGTCAAGGTCAAGGTCAAGGTCAACCTAGGTCATCTAAGATAATTGCGTTTTAGGCCAGCGGAAATTACTTTTTGTGAAGTTTTTTGACTGCATTTTTGGTAAAAGCTTCTCAGATCATGATTTCATGAAATATGGACACATAAACAATCGGTGCACACATCAGTATACACACAGACACACACAGACATACAAACACATATAATTGACCTTGACCTAGCTTGACCTGAAATGACCTCAGCAGCAAAAACCTGGTCGGGTAGAGTGACAAAGAGGTTCTAGGTGGGCTGGCACCAGAAAACGGCATCGTCATCGGTATATGATAAGCAGCGCACTTGATATCCAACGGTGAACCAAAACAGCAACATTTTTTAGTTTGACCTGACCTGGAAGGTCAATGACTGACCTGAGAAGGTAAAACTGGGTATCATTGGATTCGTCTCTTCCCAAAGAATCTTTTTGGTCTTTACCGCTAAGCTCTATCTCCAACAGGAACGAAATGGCGCCCCCCCCCCCCCCCATGTGCGTTCTAGGATGGGAAAATGGCATGTGCGGCGAGGGTTAAGACATTCATCAAAAAAGCAAGGACAAAAAGAACTTGAATTACTGAAATGTGTTTCTGGAGACTGCACACTGCACAGTGAGCGAGCAGCAATCACATTTACCACAAGCGTTCTTATTTTTTACATTCTCCTAAAATGTTGCAGGTACTAACCAAATAATGAACTATAGATATTCGATGTCAAAAATCACAATATAAAAAACTACAGATTCGGCCATGTTCCTAACTGAGGGTGAGGAAGCGAGATCAACATCTGCTTTTTCCTATCCGCCAAAGCCATCCTATCCGCCATGGCTTGCTGGCTCGTGAGTAAGATACGATTCATGTAAAAAATATGTGTTTATAACTCACATGTCCTGAGAAGTCGCCAAGTAATATGTACCAGTAAAACGCCTTTTGGGCGAAGAACGAGCGAGCGAGATAGTGAGCCCTGCACGTGCGGAAGGGCGAGAGGGTACTTCCAATGGGCTTGTGCAAAGCACCCTTCTAACCGGTCGCTAGCGGTGTGCCAAATTTGAACGCAATCGGCCCCGCCGTTCCTGAGATCTGGAAGCGGCATTCTGCACGTGCGCACGTGCAAACGGGGTCCAAAATGACTTTTGCACGGTACCCTACTAACCGGTCCCCAACCGTGTATCAAATTTGAGCGCAATCGGCCCAGCCGTTCTCGAGATCTGGAAACGCCCCCTGCACGTGCGCACGTGCAGTAGCACCCTAACCGCAACACATGGAAATTCATTGCCTGGTGGGTGCCTACCTGTATGCCAAGTTTCAGCGAAATGGCCCCAGTAATTACCGAGTTACTGAAATGGGAACAAATTTGGCACCTCTTCTTTTTGTATTTTGCACGTGCATTGGGGGTCACTCACATAGATCAAGAGTATCCGACCTTTGGTAGAAGGGATGCAGCTACCCTATAAAAATTACCGCAAGACAATCGCTCAAGCCGCTGCTGAGATATGGGCCTCTCAAAATCATTACTTTTGCAAAACTGCTTGAAGACCCTGGACTTTTCACGTGGCATGGGCCACGACGGTCACTGAGATGTAGCAAAAGTAGTCAATTACGGGGTAGAAGGGATGGGGCTACCCAGCAAAAAAGACCGCCGGCAAATCGGTCCAGCGGTTGCTGAAATATAAGCCTCTCAAAAGCGTTACAGGCCGGGCCGGGCCGGGCCGGGCCGCTCATACTGAGATTTTTCCGTTATATTGAAAAGACTTCGCTTCGCTCGCTGCGCTCGCTCGCTCGTAATAAAAACGATATAATATCCTCCCCCATCTCAAACGAGGGAACAAACACGGATTTCGAAACAGATGCGCTATAACACAGTTTTGAACCAGCTGATTCAAACACTGCAAAAAAGGTTTTAGGACTGCAAACTACTGCCTCGTGAATGATTTTATTGCTAAAAATCATCCAACACGACATTAAAGTCTAATGAAATCAACATTGTGAGTATTATTCACTACGGGAAAATTCATTTCTCTTGAGTAATTCAACCAAAAGGGCATATGAATAAATATTACGTCATCAGCTTACATCCTTTCTTTAGGGGACTGAGGATCTTAAAAGTCATCCTTGGTTGCCTGATCATAATATTGCGGCACTTTGTATTCACTTCGTCTGCATGTTGTGTTTTCTTGGAAAGATAAGACAAAATGCCAGTTTAATTCATTTTCATTTCATTTGGACCAAAGTTAGGCTCAGGGCTACCTAACACCTGCCTTTTCAGCTGGATTTTCAGTGTCAAATTATTTGTAGAGTATCTCAGACCACATCTCAGGACTCAAGGCCAGTTTCCAAACAATGTATTTTGTGTTGTTTTGATTCTGCCTTTTGCCTAGGGAATGTTGCCATAAACATTTATTTATTTTATTGTATTATACCTATTACCTGCCATTAGACTTACTAATTGGTTGTGGTTTTGCAACAAGAATGAGTATTCTGCCTTTGATAGACCACAGTAAATTCTTGATAATGATAATTAGATCCAAGCCTGTGAAATGCTGAGGTTCATGTTTTACCACTACCCTTAGCAACCACAATGGAACTCCTACCACAAAATGTATTTTTGCAGTGGCTAAGATTGCTGTTATTACAATTCAATAGCCTCTTAGTGTCCAAAGTTTGAATCATATGCTGATATTTTTTTGTGCAAAATCAAAAATACCGGCATGCTACCGGCAAGACATGCCAGTTACCACGAAAAAACCTGCGGTAGTGAAAAACTACCGGCATGCTGGTAGTGCGGTAGGGAAATTTTGCAATTCTTGACTCTAGAATTGCTAGAAATTAATTTTGAAATTTTGACGTCAACAATTTTGAACAGTTTCTTCGTTATAACTTGGCCAAAAAAGAGGTATCGATCTCAAATTTGGTATGTAGATAGAAGGTGGTAGGGACAATCAAATATATTCTATTTTTTCTAAGTTCAATTTTTTTATTTTTCCGCTATTATATTCAAAAAGTCTATTTTTAAAAATTTGGGGGTCAAAAACCAAAAATTTCACAAATCCGAGATAGCAATTTTGTAGTTCTCTTAACCCTTGCCGGCCGAGGGGGGGGGGGAGGGGAGCGGTGCCGCCCCCCATAGGGTTTTTTTCGCGATAGCTCCAAACACGCTGGCGATAGAGAGCTGAAACTTGGCATACCTTTCATTCAAGCCGGATCTTTTGACACCAACCGAATTTTCGGGTCAGGTCAGGTCACTGACCTATGGCGTCATAAGTGAACCTCTGCACGGTCTTCAGATGTCGTAACTTCGCAACGCCCTCACTGCCAGAGGAGATGTCACAGGGAAATGAAACTTGCAGGATCTACATTACGAGTCTCACAACTTTTAAATCTCGGATTTTCCCTAAAGGTCATATGAGGTCAGGTCATTTTTGTGACCTCACCATTATAAGTCAATGCAGTGGCGCAGCCAGGATTTCATTTCGGGGGGGGGGGTCATCGCCTCCAAAGCGGGCCCCTAGTGTGCGGGCCCCCCACCCATTTTTCAGAATCTCTCCATATTTCATACACATTCTGCTTCTGCATTCTGCCCTTTACCTGCACGATAACCCTGAGCGAGTTTGAATCAGAACATCTGGATAGAACAATAGCTC